TAGATTATATTATCGGTAATAGGAAAAATTCGGGCCATTGTGTAAAACAGGGATGTGCGACTCAAAGTACTAGAGGGCTAATTTTTAGAAAATAAAAATATAACAGGCCAGAGCATAGAAAAAAAATCGTTCAAAATATGAATTTTAATTAGCATTTATATACACAGAAATAATAAATTCAACACACACAACAACATAATACGAAGAAACTGATATAGTTAAATAGTTCGATACAAACAGCCAAGGCCGTATCTAAAAAATTTTTTCGGGAGATGTCCAAAACATGTATATTGTAATTTTATTGAATTTAGATTTTGATATTTGGTTAAAAATAAGACAGAAAAAGATTTAATCTTCTTTTATTAAAATTAATATCATATTTTCATATGATATTATGATATAAAATTAAAAGCAGTCAATAAATAATTGGAGCTTAAGTCATTTTTGACTGAAGATATTTATGTTGGTATTAACAATAAATAAGTATTTTAAACATTCGTAAAATATTGAAGAAATTTCGTGGGGGGGTCCAGACACCCTGGGCCCCCCCCCCCCCAGATACGGCATTGCAAACAGCTATGGTTGAAAACTATACATATACATACATATGATATTTAAACATTTAACGATGTTTAGTACCACATAACAATTATTATATCGATAAGTTAAAGTGTAGACGATAAACTTTAAAATTGTACGATGTAATTTTAAAATATAGCACGGCCCAGATAAAAAAGGCTCGCGAGCCGCCAGTTGCCCACCCCTGGTTTAAAGTATAATATACTATATATATTTTATATTTTTATAAATTAGGTTAGGTATATTTTTAGTTAATCTTACGTATCACTTTTTACGGATTACGATCCTGAGGCTCTATAAAACATTGTAATTACTAAATAACCATAACCTTTATACTAACCCAGGCGCGTATCTAGGAACTTCTTGTGGGAGGGTTCAGCACAGAAGCGTATTTAGACTTACTTCAAGGGGGGGGGGCAGACTCAAATTTTTTCTTTAGTTTAGAATAAAAATTTATAAGTAAAATTTATGGTAATATTTAAATCTGGTAAATCCCTAATATTTGTGGTTTTTTTTTTTTTTTAATCTAATGCCGAATCCACTTAGAATCAACTTATGTGTAGTTCTTTTTTAACACCTGTCTGTGTTTTGAAAGTTACGCTGGTGTTTTATTTGATTTTTCACTTAGTATGGACCCGACAAAAAGACCAATTCAGTATTCACAGCCACACGTAATTTGATTTCGTTACAAAATGATCCACATTAAAAAAAATTTTAAATGTGTACCTCACATATAATCGATTTCTTAAATACGGATTCGGGGGAGGGAGAGGCGATCACTCCTTCCCCTCTCTAAAATACGTCTTTGGTTCAGCAACTTTATACTTTTAAACTAGTGACAAAAAAAGGTATTTACTTTATGCATTGGATATTTATTTTTATTGCAAAAATAAAACGTATGTAGAATCAATTAAAAAAAGATGTTTATAACAAAAAAAAAATATCTATAGGTAGTTCTTATAATTAAAAGTATGTAAATACTCAATACTAATCATTAAACATTATGATTAAAAATACAAAAAATAAAAAATAAAAATAATAACAAATAAATGTCCAAATTGCTAGGGTTAAAATAATTATTACTTTAATTACGATACCAAATCAATTTTTCTGTAAATATTCAGCAGAGCTAATGCATTAAAATGGTTTTCTATCATAGTATTTCTGAGATAGATTTTTAATCGCCGCAATGTCGAAAATTACCTTTCTGCAGTAGTTATTGTAATGGGTAAAGTTGTTACAATTTTTAAAGTTTGTAGATATTTGAAAAGTCATTTTCATTGCAATTATTTATAAATTCTAATAAAATGAATGATATTTTAGGCAGATTTTTTAGAGAAGCCACCTAAATCTAAGTTTTGCAATTATTACTAAAGGATAAAAAAAAGGGTCAATGCTTAATAATCCCGAATACGTTCCGGCATAAAAATTATTAAAGTAACATTGTATTATATCAGCGGTTCCCAACCTCTTCAGTAGTGCGGACTATTAATTTCGTAGAAAATCTTTGAGACCCACCAATAGTTATATATGTATAATATGCACATAATTTATAACAATTTATTTATTAAAAAACAATTGATCATTTACAAAAAAAAAAAAAACTTCAATGGACCAGATTATTCAATTGTTTAACAATTAAATGTGATATTTGATTGTTTCCCACGAGAGAATCAATGTCTTAATAGCCTAAATCACTCTCAAAATTCAATTTATTCCTATATTTATTTTTAAAAAACTTAAAGTAGAAAAAGCTTGTTCACACAGACACACAGGTTGTCGAAGTATAGCCGATCAAGTTTCTAAGCAATTTTAGAAAGTCTTGCCGAATATTTACCTAGAATGGTAAGAATTATGTAGTTTTAAAAAACGATTTTAGAGTATGATCACATGGAAATCCAATCAACGAATCTTCTTTACTTGCTGCTATTTAATATTTTAAAAATATATGTAAAGAATAATATGGTTCACGGACCAGTACCACCCTGCTCGCGGCCCATTTGTGGGCTGCCACCCATGGGTTGAGAACTGCTAGATTATATGTTTGTGTGTGCATAATGCATCCGTGTAAGCGTATTGTATGTATATTACATTTATAGTTAATGCAAACTGAGTATGATTTCTATGTTAAAATTCTAATAATATGAAAATGTAAAAAAAAAACCCTGTGTTTTATATAAAAGTTAATTTACTATCTGAGATTCACGGGGGGATCCTGACCCTTGAAAACTCCCCATCATGGATATGTCACTGTACTAATTTAACTAAAGTACTTGTGCGAAATTTACATCATGTATTGAATACTAAGTATAATATAATAAAATATATGAATGGACATTCTGGTTAGTATTTATTGTTTTACTGTTAGTATTATAAAATTATTAAATGCCTATTTTCATACAGCAGTATCTAATATACATTAAACTATACCAGAAAAATAATAAAAAGTGAAATTAATAAAAATTCGAGGTTAAAACGACTAATTTGTTTTATATCTTGAAAATGATTATCGTCATATACTTCTTGTAAATTATATCTTAAAAATAAAAATACGGTATTAAATATAGATAGATGTAAAATTAAGTGATTACTAATTATTTTTATTTTTCATTTACTTATTTACTTATTTCAATGTTATATATGTTAATTTTTGTGTGATTTTATGGAATATAATTAATTAAAAAATATGTTGTAGTATTGATTATACCTAAATACTATTTATTTATAAACACTGCGTTTGCGCAGATAAAAAAAAAGTTAAAAATTAGAATTTATCAAAAATATATGTATTTATGTGTCCTGTACCCTGTAAAAAAAATACAAATTAAATTCAAGTTCATGCGTTCAAAATATTTCCTGTTACCTTTAAAATTGAACACACGTTATTAATCTTTAAATTAATAATTGTATGGACATAGCACAATGTATAAAAAAAAATAATAATTACACAACTGTCGCAGTTTTTCAACCAGTGGTCCGTTATCGTGTACAACGTGCGGATTCATATCATAGTACGCTCCAGCGTAACTCGGAATGTCTTGAATTTATGGATATCAATCTAATATAGCACCATAATCCATTCCACGGTGTTGCATAGGTCGTCGTTTTCATACTTACGTCGGCCGCCAACGTAACGAGCAGTGGACCATTGGCTGTATGGAACATTTTATTATCCGACATTTTAAACGACCGGTCGCTGCAGGTGCAATTGGGTTGCGTTCGGTACAACGTTAGTGTGTAGATTAGCAGGCACATCAGTTGTATCGGTACGTCTCGCGGACGCAACGTCGATAATTCGCACCACTTACGCGCGTGTCTATGCGAACGCGTTTTGCCGCGGGTTTTGTTTGTCGCCGTTCGTTACGTGCCGCTGATTTGCATCTCGCTGTTTATTCTACATTCGTGATAATTGTGTTCCCAGCCGATACGTAAGTAAATTACAGTAATAATTATGTGTTAATTATTTGCCACGTGCTCATGTATTGTTTTCTCTATCTAGTGTGGTAAGTTTTTATTATTGTTATGAATATCCCAAACATTCTCATCGTTTTTGCTGATTTATTAGGTTTTTATATCGAGTTGGTATCTCTATGGTTTGTAATAACGAGTTAATTTGTAGAAGTGTTTTTTTTTCTTATCAGCGATTTAAATCTAATTTAATACGACACTGAGAAATTTCCTTGTTCACGAAAAATATGCACTTATTGAAAAAAAAAAATTATTGCTGGGGTGAATTATTACAATTTCATTGTTGATACCTAGTAAATTTTCAAAAATTTAATTAAGTTTTCGGGTTTTTGTGAAATGTTTTTTGAATTATTTTCATTATCAACTATAATATGATATATATGTGTATGTATATATAATTTTCCTTTCTTTTGACGTATGTATAATTTGATAATTGTATATTATTGTGATTAAAATACAATTTATTCATTCGTAATTCTTCCATTGTACAAAAAGATGTTCATAATAAGCAGTGTTGCCAGGTTAAAGATGTTGAATGTTCAGAAAATTATCGTAGTTTGTTCGTTTCTTGTTCGTATTGTAAAAAATTGTATTTCGTTTCGCTTAGTTAAGACAGTCACATTTCAATATTTCATTGGTGTCATAGATAATAAATAAATAATAAAAACATTAATATGATTCGTGTACATAATTCTAATTAATAGCTATTTGTAGTTATTTTTAATCAAATAATTGTTGACGATTCATACAATAAATGAAAATTTATCAGCTAATGATAAACTTATTGGAAACTAAGTTTGACATGTTAACGTTAATGTCTAAAAATAGATTTAAAAAAATCGTGTTTCGGTAATATTATCTAAAATAGATTTTTTGAGAAAAATTGAGTTATCTAAATGTACATTTTCATCTTATTATAATGTCCGTAATAAACCGTACGAATATTCGTTTTATTTTATATTCGTACACTATAATAGTTGAACTGTTCGTACTAAAACGAAGATGTTCGTACGCCTGGTAACACCGATTTTGAGTAACAAAACCCGAAAATCTTCTGAGTGTTCGTTTATAACTTCAACGTCAGACTATCGGATAGAAAGCTGTTATCAATCAACATATGTTTGTTCTAAAATTCCAAATATCTACGTATTTTTTATATGCTATATGTGCATTGAGATCACGTGACATAATATGTCGGCTTAGCAGTCCGCTGGTCTATAAGTCTTGTGCTGACTATTAGAGTATACAACAATGTATTAAGCGTACCTATTTACAATAAATTTATGTATTAACTATGATTAACATGTTGAGTGGAGTTACTAGTTAGACTCAAGAACAACCTAATACGTTTTATGTTTATTCAATTCAATTACAAGATAAAATTATTTTAATATTATTTAAATCTATGAATAAAATTATTGGAAATGTTATAGGTATTTATTAAATGTATTTTAAAAATTATAATTTTAGTTTATTTGTTTGAATTGTACCCATTGATATTTTAGTGAAATATTAATTAAATTTTTAGCTTGTTAACATTTTTATACTTAAAAAATGTTGTATTTTGGTATTGGTTAGTCATTAATAATTGGACCTTTAATAATTATAATTAAAGAGCGGATTTAATTGATATTGCAACTTTTTATTGATACCCAGTAAATCAAATCTGATCAAATATGTATACGAATCAGATTAATTACAGTCTTCCTATTTAATTTAATAATTCAATTTTTGTATACTTCACATGATAAAATATACAAATTATTATTTCCAAAATGATTTTACAAAAAAAATATAACTGATGTAAATTTTTACATGTAGTTAAATATAGTTAAGGATTTTTAAAATTATATTTATCTGAGTTATCCACAAAATTCCACAAGTTTAGAAGAATCAAATAGTCAATTACTTAATAGTTTAAACATATTTAGTATAAATACTAAATAAATAAAGGAATAAATAAATAAATACTAAACAAATACTACTTAACTAAATAAAAATATTTATACTAAATACACAATTTAGAGATGTATATAATTATAAATTTGAATTCAGAAAAATGATATATTTTGTAAATATTATATTGATGTCCATAATATTATTTAAGTAAGTAATTAATGGTTATATATTTGATATGATTTTACTATATAATATTAATGTATTGCATTGCAATTTTGATGCATTTTCATTGCAATTTTGGCATTGTAATTAAATCCGGTCTTTAATTATAATTAATTATAATCTTACTTTTGTTTAACTGTTTATGTTGCACAATAAAATGCTTTTTTATTAATCAAATGATAAATTATAAATATTGATGTTTTTTTAAAAATAATAACTAAATTTAATTTAATAATATAAATAGTTTTATCAATATTTATTGTCTAGTATGTTTTATTTTTAACTTGAAGATGCTGACTATGGAGCTTATAAAATAATCTCAAACAAATATTTAGACCCTTAGACTTTAGATTCTGTGATTTACATATATGATTACTCAGTCAATCTAAATAAAAATTGGTTATGATATATCTTATTGTTTAATATATTATTAACTATTTTTATTTAAACCTCACTGTAAATTTAAACTATATCTATACTTTTTTTATTTTTGAAAAAAAAAAATATTACAAAATATTAAATTAATGTACAAGTTTATTTGGGGTTTGGAACATTATTTTGATATAATTTTTACTAATGTTTTGAATTTTTATGTTATTTATAAACATATGATAATTAATGTAGTTTTAATGATAATGTTGTATATTATCTATGTATGCAATAATGAAAAAATATTTTTATTTTAAAAAATTAATTTTAAATAGTTAAATAAAAGAGGGATTCTTATAGGTATAAGAAAGTGTATAATCATATATTTTTATTTTAGAATATTGTGTAAACATATGTCAGTTGTTCAAGAAGATCATTGAAAATCATTAATTTTGTCATCTTAATTAACACAGTCTGATTATTACTTTTGCATTTATAGAAGTATATATAATCATCATAATGGAGGAAGAAGAGTAAACAAACTATAAATCTATGTTTTAAGAATTCAATTGTATTTTTTATATTTTTTTATATTTAGTGTGAAATTAAATGAAAAACAAGTACAATATAAATTGGAATCAAAAGAAAATAAGAAAACATTTAATTGGGCTGAGGTGAATATTAATTATTATTGAAAATACTTATTATCATTTTTAAGGTTGTTTATTTACTGTTTTGATTATGTGCTTTTAAAACTATTTTCAGTTTTTAGCTTGTGTATCAGTAGCCAGTACTAATTTACATACAGGATTTGCTTTGGGATATTCTGCTATAATAATACCACAACTTGAAAAATTCACGGATGAATTGGGTGAATTAAGCAAGTCTGAAATTTCATGGATTGGTAAATATTTTTAATTTTTTTAATCAAACATTTCACTTAGATCAACGGTTTTCAAACTGTGCTCTACGGCTTTATGGGAGAAGTCTAGGGTTCCGTGGCTCCGTGGACACATCTAAATTAATTAAATTAAAATATTCTTATTATTATTATATTCTTTAGTAACTGAGGAAAAACATTGGTTGGATTACATTTTGTTTACCGAACATTTACCCATTTAGTTTAAAATCTGACTTTTTGATAAAATTTGGTTATTTCGACTTTATAATATTTTCATAAAATTAAATAAAATTAATTTATCAGTACAAATAAAATAACCACAGTTTTGACAGCAAATGACAAAATCCAAGTTTTTTAAAAACAAAATAAATAAATTTTGATCAATTGTTTTTCTCAACATAAAATGTATAGTTTCACCCTGTTAAAACAATATTTAGAATCGATCAGTATTTATGAATTTGATGAAGTATTATATAATTTTTTGTGTACTTATTATTTTTGTAATACAATTACAAATTCCTGGTTTTTGGTACTCCGAACAATTTTTTAAAATATAAGGGCTCCGCGAACAAAAAAGTTTGAGATATACTGATTTAGATAAACTATTAAAAATATAATATATAAATATATAAATATATAGTCTAAAACAAATTTGACATTATTATTATTTAACTATGCTTATATTTAAAAATATACTTAATACAGTAAAACCTTCTAAATAGCAGTTATTCTATGTTTCAGGTGTCTGCTATTGGGAAAAATGAATAAAATAAAAATTTAAGTTTTACTGACTTTTTATAAAAAATATATAAGACGTATTATTACATATTATTATGATTATAATTATTAAGGCATATATATATATATATATATATATATATATATATATATATTACAATGGTAAAAGAATCTGAAATTTTGTTCTAAATTAGACTGAAGTTGTTAATAAATCAAAATATCAGCTGCATTAAGACAAAATGTCTTCAGCCAATTTGTTAATTGCAACGCTTCTTTAGATGTTATTTTTGTCTTGTCAATATTAGTATAATTTTTTATACCTTGTTCCACAACATGTTTTTCATTTCCATAGTCCCAGAACCATTGTTAATATCTTCTATGTTTAATACTAATTCTTCAGTTTGTAAGCATCCATTTAATGAAAAATTGTCCAGTGCATTCATTAAATATACTGTTAAAGCTAATTCCGATAACTCTTTATTCAGATTCTCTATTTGTGTTAAGTCACCAATATAATTTGACCCTATCTATTGGTTGTTTTGATTCATATTTATTGATTGTATATAGGTACTTAATCGTATTCATTAAATCATAAAGTTAAACTACTTTAACAAAGATATGAAAAAAAGAACATATGTTCAAACTACAAATATGTTTTTGTTTCTTGGTATTTTTGTCTGTTATTTAGAGGTATTTAAGTATATCACACCTGTCTGAGTCTTTTATAAAAATGTGTTTGCTATTCAGTGTAGCATTATCTAATAATTTCAATGGCGTTGTGTCAGAACTGAAAAATTTTTCTGTTACTTAGAAGTGTCCACTAATTAGAGATGTCTATTAAGAGAGGTTTCAGTCTATAATATTTTTAGATTTTTATAAAATTATATTCTGAATAAAGCAAGGAATATATTTGTTATTTAAGGATGGTTTTTTATGTATATGTTTCTGTGATTTAACTTTTGAATCGTAAATTAGTTCAAACAATGTTTTATGATACGCAAGTACAATTGTACCATTTAGTTACAGAAGTATTTATATAATTGTAGTAAAATTGTATTATTTTAAAAAAATTTCAATAATGTTTGTAATTTTCAATATTTAAGTCTTTATCAAAAAAGTAGATTTATATTTTGTAATTAAATATGTTATGGCAAGACATACAAATTAAAAACTCATTAAATAAGCTATTATTTTATTGGAAATTTAGGCCTGTCAATATTTTTAAAAACATTTAAAATTTGAAATTTTGAAATTTAACAGCATTATTACTAGTTTGGTTAATTTATTTTATTTTTTTTTGTTAGTGGCATAATTTATATTTAGTAGAAATAATGGAATTTTTAAATTATAAATCATCTAATAATAAGTGATTCACTAATAAATTGTTAAGCGTGTTTTATAAAAATAAATTTATACATTGAAAACCAAGAATTTTTTATATATTTTTTTAATTAATTTTTTTAATTGGAACTTTATAATAAACGAATAGATAATAAAAGAGCATATTTATTACCAAATATTTTATAAAATAATAATAAAGCATTAATTAAATTTACAAGGTTTTTTTCTATGTATAACTTTTCAGATATTCTTATGTTTGCATATAGCTAGCAGTATTTCAATTGCAGCTCCATTCGGATGTCTTTTTATAACTTTTGCGTTGGACAAATTTGGTCGTATAGCCACTTTTAAATTATCTCTTTGGCCATGTTTTATTGGCTGGATGTTGATAGCATTAGCTTTTAATACAAATATTATTATTGTAGGCCGATTATTGACTGGATTTGCCATGGGTATGATTATGATTTAATTAAGATTTTGTAAAATCTTGTGCTATAACCAAAATTATATACTTTTAGCTGTAGGAACAAATTCAGCAAATGTTTACATGGCAGAAATTTCCAGCCCAAAACTTCGCGGGTCTATGATGTCTATAGGTTCTGTGATGTTATCTTTTGGTTAGTATAAATTATTGATGTCTTAAACAAGAAACGGGAAATTTTTTACAAAATAATTATACAAGCAGTTATATTTAACCACTGTTATACTTTTTATTCTATTTCTCTTTTCGTTCATTGTCTAGAATATAATTTTTCTTTATTTAATAGAATATATCTTATCTGATTTAATTTCTTTATTTAATAAATATATAATTGTACATTTAAGATAAATAAATATTTTACTGATAAAAGTTTTGCCAGAAACTATTTATCTAGTTACAAAATAAAATCACAATAGCTAAATAAATATATTTGTAGTACATTATTTTTTAAGTTCATAATTAATATCCTTAAAATATTAAGTGGAATAGGTATGAATACTTCCCTCATTGATTCATTTTTAAAATATTGAAACTTATATATTAACTATTTTATTTTTTGATATAGCTTAGTTGCATCATTGATTATCTAATTGTTAAAACATGTGCATATTACAGGAAAGAATATTTTACATATCCTTCAATAATATATATTTGATATTTTGTTCACTATGACCATATTATATTGTATATTATAATTTATAACAAATACAATATAAATTAATGGAATTTTATTATTAGGAATATTATTAATGTACTGTACGGGTATATATCTACATTGGCGTGTTGTTGCCTGGATAGCATTTATTGGAGCTATTCTGCCTGTTTTCATGACTGCATTTTGGACACCTGAAAGTCCTCTTTGGCTAATTTATAAAGAACGAGATGATATGGCTCTAAAGTCTTTAAAATATTTTAAAAATATTAAATATGTAAGTTTTTTTTTTTTAATTTAATTTAAATCAATTAATTTGATTTAACTTATAACTATTGATGACTATATATTAGACAATGTTAATAATAACTAATTTAAAGATTTATAAATTTAATAGGGTGCAAATGTACAAGAAAGTTTTGATGAAATTAAAAAAATTAAAGAAAAAAATGATTTATCAATTAATAAAGCCATTGAAAATAGAAATGTATTTAGACGTATGGCTTGGCATTTATCTCAGCCTACTGTTTTCAAACCATTAATAATTTTGTCCATATTATTTATTTTACAACAATTCACTGGAATTTATACATTTCAGTTTCATGCAATTAATATGTTAAAGGTATTGTATACAAATAATATAATTTCAATACTTTTTTGTATTATTATTTATACATTTTTTTTTTTTTGTATATATATATATATATATTAAAGGAAGTTGTGAAAGGAGTTAATTTGAAATTTGCCACTTTTCTGTTTGGTTTATTAAGATTCATTTTAAGTTTTGTAGCAACAGGAATGTTACACACCTATGGTAGACGGCCATTATGTATGATTAGTGGCATCATTATGGCTATCACTTTGTTGATTTCTGGATTGTGTTTTCATTTAAAAGCTATTGGTAATAATGATATCTTATTAATTGTTTATTTAATGAAATATTTTTTGTATTATGTGTGATTCAATGAACTAAGTTTAAAATGATAAGTTTTGATAAGAGTAAAAAAGATTTATTATTTTACTAAATAGGTAAAGAAGTTTTTAATTATATAAACTAAAACTGTCTAATAAAATTGGTAGCTACATTGGTTATTAAGTATATGGTTATAAATTAAAAGATAATAAAACATTTTTACAAAAATTCATCTATAAAAACCAAAATAAAGTTTTATATTAATTTCAATTTAACAAAAAAAAGTACTTATTAATTTAATAATTTTATTTAATGTTCATAACATTTATATTATATTGACTCATAATTAAATGTATTGTTTTATTTTGTCTACAGGTAACGAAAATATTCTAACAACATGGATACCATTATTATGTATGTTACTTTATATTTCAGCTGGCTCTGTTGGCTTAATGTTAATTCCATGGATATTACCTAGTGAAATGTTCCCAACCAAAGTTAAAGGATTGTTTATTGGACCAATTATGGGTTGGAGTAATTTTGTTATGTTTTTAGCAGTACACTTTTATGGAGATCTTAAAGATTTATTGGATGGTATGCTAGGCATTTTATGGTTTTATAGTTTGATATCTATATTGTCAGTATTGTTTGTATGGATGTTTATTCCTGAGACCCACATAATGAAATTATCCGAAATAGAAGATTATTTTAAAGATAATACTATATACTTCCTAAGAAAAAAGAATCCTAAAAAATCCCAACCATTGTCTATATGATTAATATATGCAATATTGTATTACAATCATATACCTTGAATTTTTTGAAATAATAATTTTTTTATTGAAAAATTGTTTAAATTTTAGCGAAGATACATAGTATAATAAATATTATTTTTTGGGTTTTAAATACCTTGGAGAAAATTTAAAGGTACTCTATGTGTTCATTAATAATGTTTTTATGTTTGTAGTTTATTTTATAAAATTAAAAGTATTTTAGGGCTACATGACATATTATATAAAATATAATTTTTTATTTAATAATGTATTTTATCTATTACATATCATGAACATATATTTTTTTAAAACATTTGAAATAAAAAAAGATTTTATGCCATTTATTTTGTTTAGAAACAATTATTTTCCTTTGTATGCTTATAAATATTTTAACTGCCTTCATGCTTTATGCTTGGAATCATAAAATACATTTTTGGTACGTTTATAATATAGACATTTATTGGAAATGTTGGATCTTGGGACAATTTTTACATAAAAAGATCACTGTATTGCCATTAAATTATACAATTTCTCACACCTCATGATAAATTGGAAGTATCCTAACATTGAAGTAATTTATTATTTTACTTTTTGAATTTTATTTTTTAATCACCTTCAAAATGCACAAGTGCATTTTGAAATATAATAGCTATATTTTATTTGTATATAACAATTTACCTTAAATAATTAAACCTTTTCTGATTAAAAAAAAATGATGGTATATAATATTAAATGCATTTTGCGAGAAAAAACAGATTTAGTATTAAAAAGGATTGCATTTTATCTTCTTTCCTTATAACTAATTACAATTTATCTTCCTTTTCAATAACCAGGGAATTTTTAATAAAATTAAATTGTCATGTAAGTAATCTATCTTTGTATTGTATGTTTACTCATAAATAGTGGTGTAGAAACAGTGAGTGTAAACGTTAGTATAAAGCATATAACAACTTATCCATTTTTTAGTTAATGCTCAGGTATACTTATAATATAATTTGTGATACACATGGTATAAAACTACACTATAAACTTCATAGCTACAATCAGTATTTAAGAATTTTGACCTTTTTTTTTTACAAACACCAACATATTTCCTTGTTATCATGTTTATTATTTTTACATTTACATGTCTATTTTTAATTGTATTGCCAATCTTATCGCTTATAGATAAAAAAATATGATGAGATAAAGGAATTTTAACTCCACTCATCCTCTTTACTTACAACTGGCGTATGCTCAAGACTTTTAGACCATTAGAAATATTTATTTTTCATGGTATTTTTAAAAAAAAAAAATGCTTGCAAAATTTAATCCTGAATCAATTATAGTAAAAATAATGTGATATTAGACAACTATTAAATATATATATTCAACTACGAATTATTTTGCCAAAACAGTATTATTTTCTTACTAACACTCGTATATTATTTATGGAGAGTTTTAAACATAGTTATCTAATTTATATTCTTTTCGAATTCTTGTCTTAGGCACTAGTCATTATACGGTTAAACAAAAAAAAAAAAAAATAAGTAACCGATTTCACTATAAAACTTTTGCATTTTCATCTTTGATAAAAACTTTTTATCTTAAGTTACTATAAAATAAAAATAGTTACATAGGCACACTTTCATATAGATATAGTATCAATATAGGAGTAAAAATTTTCCTCTACACGCACACATCAAATATAAACACGTTGCATCATGTGACTGTTGCAAACATCTTCATATGGTTGGTAATTGTCTTACTGTTTGTTAAATTTGACTAAAATCAGTGGTGTATCCAGGGAGGGGTTAGGGGTTATAACCCCCTTGAAAATTTTTAATGTATGTTTATTGTCTATTGATTATAATAAAAACACACAAAATTCAAATTCATTTTTTACAACGCTCCCAAAAAAAAAAAAAATTCTGGATACGCCACTGCTAAAAATAGATATTCTAACCTTTCACTTGAGGCTGTTGTTGCAGGAATAGTTAATACTAATTGAATAAGTTTCGTGACTTCTTGATATACTTCTTGAAGCTTATCTAAAATAATGTTTATAATTAAAATTATAATTTATTTTAAAAATTATTAAAAATATTTAAGAAATGTTTTAGGTTCTTACTTTTAAATATAAAATCAATAAATTCCAAAGGAGCGAAATATTTCAATGGATCTGCATATATTATGTAAAGTTCATTTTTTAAACGATCTTTATCAAAAATATCTGGATAGTATTTAAAAAGTTGTCTTAATTTTTCTTCTGGAAAATGAACTTTATATGATGCAAACATTTTTTCATTTATTATTTCAACAAACTCTAGTTTTTTCAAAATCTTTAAATCTAATATTTATTTGAACAATTAATGAATCAATAATTTTATACGTAAGTCTACGTAAATTAGATGCTTCCTCATTTGTATACTTTAAATCTGTGTTTAATTCAACGGAACATTTTATGGTATCGTGTATGGAAGTTTCATTTCTCAAATCTTTTATCCGTGAAGTAAGACTTTTAATTTCGTTAACACAATATTTAATATCAGTAGTTGATATATTTTGTAGAATACAAAATGTGTGATCAGTAAATATAAATATTTTACTGAAAAGTATCAATAAGTAAACAAATTTTCGATTGTTCATAATACTCAATATACCAGATGCAGTACAAACAAAATTGGAATCCCAGCCAGGGTCATCAACTACATGAGATACGGCATTTTTTAGTTCATTGAAATGAGTTTTTATAGTTAAAGCAGCTCTTGAATGATAATTCCAACGTGTATTGCATTGATTTGGTAATTTAAATCCTTGCTCTCTTAATAAAGAACTTCTTTTAGAAGATCTACTAAAAAACGTGTGGAACATAGTAAGGTTTGCTATAAATAATTTAACATCTTTTATTGATTTTGCGCCGTGAAGTAGAACTAAATTCAATTGATGAGCGTAACAATGTATAAAAATAGCCATTGGATAAATATTTTGTATAATTGACTGAACCCCATTTTTTTCACCAGCAATAACAGAAGTACTATCATATGTTTGACACATAACTTTTTTACCAATATTCCATTTTGAAAGTTCATTTAAAATTACTTCGGATAAACCAGCCGCAGTCTTATTTTTGGAAACATCAAAAAATCCTATAAATCTTTCTTCGATCTTATTGTCCAGAATATAACGAAAAATTAAACTCATTTGAGATTGGCATGATACATCCGTAGTTTCATCGGCTTGTATTGATATAAAATTTGTAATTTTCAGTTCTTTTAAAATATGAGAATTTAATACCGTAGTTACGCAATGGATCAAGTCATTTTGTATGTCGTGTGAAGTTCCTTTAAAAACAGAATTTGTGCAAAAGTGTTCTTTTATAAATTGCTCTTCCTTAGCAAGTAAATCTAAAATTTCACAATAATTTCTTTTATTTAAAGAACCTTCATTCTCGCGATGTCCGCGGAATGCCAATTCTTGTTTCCCTAAAAAACAATCTACATCGATTAAACGAGCTAATATCTTTCTGTTTATGTCCACTTGTTTATTATGATTAATTTCAGTTAACCGACGACTCTCAGATATTGAATGTTCAATCCTATTTTTACCCAGCATATGAAAACTTTCCTTGTTAGTCAGATGTTTTTTTGAAATTTTGTGTTTTTCAGCTTTACGAACTAAATTTTTAATATTAGGAATGCCATTTATATTCCACTCATTCTCTCCTCTGAACAAGACACATATGTAACAGAATAATTTATTTCTTTCAACGCTTCCTGCTAACCAGTTAAATTTTGAATACCAAGACAATTGAAATTTTCTTAAAGTTTTTGCTTCTTTATATTCTAATGATAAATGTGGCGTTGGTCTCTTACCTTTTAAATTGCATTTTTCTTCATACGAAAAAGAACCAAGACCTTTATTTAAAATAATATCAATAATATCTGACATATTAAGTTTTAAATGTATATCACTTCATTAAGAAAAAATAATAAACATTAAACACGTGCCATTAATCATTAATCACTGTTGGAATGCAATTAAATTATAAAAATATTACGTTGAGACATGTCTCTTCCATACATATAATTTTGGTAATATCCCACTACGTTCCACGTTTATCATATCATACGCCCGTCATCAATAGTGAGACACAATTCAATATGTCTCGACCGATTTGACGGCGACGACGTAGCGATTACGGTATAGATAAGATATAAATAAAATTATACTTATTAATAATATATATTTAGTCACACTCGTTACTCACACAGACACACTATAGAAACGAATCAGTGTAAATAACATTTTATTTATAAAATTATGAAGAAATAAAAGACTTATATAATATATTAGCA